GAATAGGGTGGAGTTTCTTATGAAAGATGCTAACCATGCCATTACTAGAATAGTTTTGTTTTTCCTTTGGAAATTGTTAGATGTTGACCAAAATCATACCTAAAATGTGAACATGACTAAAGTTCAGTGATATGAAAATGTTATGCTCGTTTGGTGAAATCAGTTAAACCTGTCATCTTCAGAAAGTGAAATCAGATAAATTTTCTCCAATTCAAGATATACAATTCTTTTGTAAGACAGTAATCTAGTGATAAAGTAGACTTGCTTGAGTGCAGAACTGATAGGAATGTATGTGTATGTTCCTTGACAGTAGGCTGGGAGACTTTTTCCTGGTAGAGACTGGTAGATAATATTTTGAATTTCCCTATGTGCCCCTTGATGCTAGTCATTTGGCTCTCTGAGTGTTGTCGCTTGTGTTAACTTTTGCTTCTTTTGGAGTGAAATGGCATGTTCCTTTGTAAGTAACTAATTTCAGTTAATGGGCAACATCCTTCTGATCTGTATTCTTTTGCATTTGGGTTTGTTTTGATACAGGATTGAACACAGAGATGCTAAAAGTGTATGAAATCTCACTGTGGTGGTGTTTATTGATACCACAGATGCAAGTTTTCATCTTATTGGCCTCTGTGAAAAAAAGTAATGCTATTAGCACACACTTCATTTATGTTTGTTGGAAAATTACTTTGTTAATCTTAAAAACAAAAACAAAAACCTTAAGTTCTCTTCTGTGGAATGCATCATTTCACTTGCCATGAACTACTGGATATTTGGCCCTAATAACCACCTTCATAAACTGGCCTGAAGCCTGCAGGTGAAAAGCTGAAGACTGGATAAATGTCATGCTTATTGCATAGAAGATTTGATTAGTAAGAGAAGTTATATTTTCCTCAGTTATACTGAATCACAGCTTGAAAATATCATACTGGTCTCAACAATATCAAGCAAGTTCTGCATCATTCTCAAGATTTTTCATGACCAGATATCTGTGTTGGTAGATCAGGTGATTAAAATAGAAGTCCAGATACTTATATTAGGGCTATGAATAAGACGCCATAAAAACTTTAAAGCTATTCCGTAATTAATGTGGGTCTGATGTCACAAGAGGATACTGAGTTCTTAAAATGTTCACTTGTTATACCCAAGAATTTATGATAGTTAAGTGTTACAGGTGGAATAAAGGTGGCTCTTTGCAAGGATAAATGCAAGTTTTCCCCCTAAAATTGTGTTCTACTCTTGCTATGGCAATGTTAGGTTAGTTTAATGTAACTCTATGTAACTCTGAACAGAGCTTGAAGGCTCTATAGTGCTCTATTTTGAGGCAGAATATTCTGGGACAGATGCTAAGCTTCTCTAGCATCCACCTGTCAATTAATGTTAAGAGATGAACAAATGAGTATTCATACATGCTCAAAATTCATTTTAAATATTAAATAATTTAATAAGCATAGAAGAACAAATTGTAATGCTTCTGTTAAGTGTTCTATGATTTTGCGACAGTATTTGTTTTAAGCTTTGGAGTCCTTACCTTTATTAGCAGAAAAATTCATGGTGCTGGAAGATGCTTTGTTTTTAGAACTAAAGCTGCCCTTGCACGCAGGAGGATTGGAAACTTTGGCCTCTTCCCCATCATGTACTTGAGCCTCTTCCCTGTCGTGTGATCAGAAGTTCCCAATCATGTGACAGGTACCTATTTGGAATAAGATAAATAACTCTTTCATGCATTTTGATCATAGCACAATGAAAACGAAGAAGGGCTCTGAGTCAGGGTAGAGGTTGGCAAGGAGTGTGCTTCCAGAGCAGAAATGTCTATCCTGAAGCTTCTCTGTGTCTTAAGGACCATTAGAGAGAAGACAGAAATGAACATGCTGTATGGTCAGACAAACTGGTTTGCTGGTCTGGAATTTCTCCCGTTCTGTGCTGGAGACTTCAAGTGAGAGCCCTGTGCTGTGTTCCAGTGAACTTCTACACTACCTGTGTCATAGAAATTGAAAGGAATGCCCAAATCCGTTCTTCACCTTTGTTTCATTTTTTGAGGGGGGTTCTTACTGCCAGTAAGGACTTTATTCACTGTTTCATAGTCACCTCTGCATAGTTTTGTACTTCTTTAGATAATGGTTCAGGGCGGATGAGAAAGGAATAGTGCCTGCCTGTGAATTTGTGGTAGAAGTTGCACTGCAGAAGTGATTGTGTTGACCGTCCAGAAGAGGGATGGTGATGTGCTTCAGTAAATCTTTTCATTAGTGTATTTTGTGTGTATAACTTTCTGGATCTAAGAATCTTGTTTAGTAATGAAATAATTTGTTAGATGGAGAGAGTATCTGTGAAGGATTTTGTTCTTTGCTTCCTGAAACTGTTGTGAAATCCTAGAAATCCAATTCAACCAAGAGAAGCTATTGCTGCAGTACCCAGCAGATGTTCTTTATTTTGCTTTTTCTTCCTGTGTATTTACCAGCAGTGAATTTTAAAAGGTGGAAAAGACATCTGTAAGGAGTGTCATCTTGAGTGATGCTAGGGGATTCACTGATCCAATAAACTTTTAGGTAAGAAGCCAGTTAGCAGTCATCTTAATCACACTTGATTCCTGACATGGGAGCATGCTTAGTAGAAAACTAGTGATACACGCAAGCAAATTTTGTGAGTAATGATTGGAATGTGTATTTGGTGACTTGTATTATTATATGGGCTATCATGATCTAAGCAAATCTATTTTTTTGGGGGGAGGGGGCTTCTTGATACTAAATTTGTTGTGTTAATGTTTTTTGTATTGAATGTAGCTTTAACTTCACTGTTTGCATTCCAAGAATAAGTATTAATTCTTGGGGATGGATATGGCATGTGGTTCCTAGTGTTTTACAGTGCTTCTAATGCTTCTGGCCAACATCAGTACTCTAACCTTGGCATGGAGTTATCTCGTGTCTAGTCCTTAAATAAAATGATCTAAGCTTTGTTATCAAAAGAAGCACAGACAGATAACATTAAGATTTTACAGAATCACAGAATGGCCAAGGTTGAAGGGACCTCTGGAGATCATCTAGTCCAACCTCCCTGCTCAAGCAGGGTCCTCTAGAGCACATTGCCCAGGATCGCGTCCAGGCGGGTTTTGAATATCTCCAGGGAAGGAGACTCCACAGCCTCTCTGGGCAACCTGTTCCAGTGCTCTGTCACCCTCACAGTGAAGAAGTTTCTCCTCATGTTCGTATGGAACTGCCTGTGTTGCAGTTTGTGCCTGTTGCCTCTTGTCCCATCACTGGGCACCACTAACAAGAGTCTGGCCCCATCCTCTGGATAACGCTCCCTTGAGATATTTATACACATTGATGAGATTGCCTCTCAGTCTTCTCTTCTCCAGGCTGAACAGGCCCAGCTCTCTCAGCCTTTCCTCATAGGAGAGATGCTCCAGTCCCCTAGTTATCTTCGTAGCCCTCCACTGGACTCTCTCCAGTAGCGCCATGTGTCTCTTGTACTGGGGAGCCCAGAACTGGACACAGCACTCCAGGTGAGGCCTCCCCAGGGCTGAGTTAGAGGGGGAGGATCACCTCCCTCGACCTGCTGGCAACACTCTGCCTAATGCACCCCAGGATACCACTGGCCTTCTTGGCCACAGGGGCACATTGCTGCCTCACAGTCAATTTGCTCTCCGCCAGGACTCCCAGGTCCTTCTCTGCAGAGGTGCTTTCCAGCAGGTCAGCCCCCAGCCTGTAATTTGTTGTAAGGGAGATGTGAATTCTGGAGTTATGCTGATTGGGTAGGTAGGCACTCTTGTATTATTACTGTTTATGTGTGGCTTGCTTTTTTTTTTTAATTCTATTTAGTGGGATACACACACAGATGGGTGAGTGGTAGGCTGCTCTTCCCTAACTTCCTTTATAGTTCAGATCTGTTCTGGTACTTGATGCATTTCTCTCCAGTGTCTCTTATCTACCACAGCTCTTCTGCTGCCGTAGATTGTAGGGAGTTTAAAGCTCCCATTCAAACTGAAACCCTTCCGCAATTCAACCCATGCGGTGAAATCTTTGCTACCTTATCACTGCAAAGTTGATTGAGTTGCTACTGGTGACATGATAGTGGGTAGTGCTAGAGAAAGGATAGGATGCGCAAATAGCGATACTTCCTAATAGTTAAAAGTAGTGTTCATTGTCCTTAAGGAGTGCTAAATGCTACAACTAGGGGCTTTTAATCTTTAATTTCTGAGATTTCTTCCTGAGGCATAGTATGGATGATACATTTTAAATGCTTGTGTGTGTTGATATTGAAGTCTTTGGGCACATTCAGCACAACTGAAATACAAAAATATACTTTTTTACTGCTTGTAATATGTTCTTAATACTCAACTCTTGCATTAATTTCCAAGAAAACTGCTATTTGAGACAAATTTTATTCTTGTTATAATTTTATATGGTCTTGTATAATACACATGCATTATATGTGCACGAATGCAAAGTACATATATAGCAATTCATCAAGAGGTGGATTGTTAAGGAGTACTAGAGGCACAGAAAACCCTAAACTTCTTTTTATATCCCAATGTGTTCTATATTCCTTTTTGTGAGATCTTCATGTGAGAGGATCCCCAATGAGAACCCAATCAACCAGAGGAAAAGCAGGAAGATTTGCAACTTAATTTTGTTTTTTAGATCGTAATTTGAAAAAATCGTTGGTTTTAATTACAAGCATGAGATTGAAAAATCATCTTGGCAGAAAAAATACTTCCATTAGTACAAATATGCATAAAACATTAATAGAAGAAAGACAGTTAATGAAATAGGATAATATATGAAAAGCTAGATATATTTTATAATTGTATACTACCTTAGGTCCAGCTCTCCTCCTTTAGATTAGTAGTTCACTAGGATATCATGCTTGCATAAATATATTTTGTGTTGTTCTTTCTTGCCTCTCAGATCTTAGAAGTATATCCAAATGTGTTTATCACTAGTATTGATAGGTATTTACAGGCCTCTCTTAAATTTTATTGCACTGCCTTTTAAAATATAAGCTATTTTGTATTAATGAAAATTTTAAAAAATTTTTTTATATGCAGAGTTTTCCATCTGATGAGGGTTGGCCGTTTGCAAAGTACTTAGGAGCGTGCGGAAGAATGGTGGCTGTCAATTACGTTGGAGAAGAGCTGTGGAGTTACTTTAATGCACCATGGGAGAAACGAGTGGACCTGGCCTGGCAGTTAATGGAAATAGCTGAGCAACTGACAAATAATGACTTTGAATTTGCACTCTACCTCCTTGATGTCAGCTTTGACAACTTTGCAGTTGGACCAAGAGATGGGAAAGTTATCATTGTAGATGCAGAAAACGTTCTGGTAGCAGATAAAAGGTTAATCAGACAGAGTAAGTTTCTTCTTTCCTCACCCCTTCACTGTTTCTCTTGTTCCTTTCTCTGTAATCACAATTTCTTTTTAAAGTATGTGTAGTTGCCAAAACCTATTTTGTGATAGTACTTTATTGTACAGCTAATTAGCTTTATATGATAGACTACTAATTAGATTGACTAATTTGTCAGTTTTACAAAATGTTGAGGCTACCTGAATTTGATTTACATATACTTTTAATCTCTGTATTCCTGTTTAGATGGAAGGTGGAGTAGGGGGGAGGATTTGGACAAACAGATGAACAGGCAGACACGTGAACTGACTGATTGACTTCTTGACCTTAATGAAAATAGAGAGAGCGCTCTTATCTCTTTCCAGATGTCTGTCAGTAGAGAAGTCTTGGTGTTCCCTTTTCTGTAAATGACATCTTATTGCCCTCTTTCCCGTAGTTACAGAGCCTTCCTCTGGTTCAGTTGTTCAAGTGGTTGCTCTGCAGTAACGGAGCTGAGGGAACGGGTAATTTTAGTGCTGTTTCCAAATTGGAATAGTGAAAATCTGTTCATCTCTTTGTCAACTGTAAAAAGCTCAAAGTAGCAGCAGCAGCAGGAGAGATGTTTGACAAAGTGGCATTACATGGGTTTGTATTTATTTTGAGCTTATATAGAAAACTTTACAAACCTAAAGGCTAGAAACGCTGAACATGAAACCTTAGATTCTGCAGGAGTTTGTGGCAGTAGGCCAAGCAGTCCCAATTTGCTTTGGGTGAATGTGTTTTTTATGTTCTTTCTTCATGCACTTTTCTATAAGGAAGTTTGTTTTTTTAATTACATTTATGCATTCTCATGGAATTAGACTAAAGCTATCGGAGTACACAAAGAAACCTTTTAAATGTACTGATTATCTGGTACATTTACTTTAGTACTTATAGCCACACAAATAAACTTTCACTTTTTTTTCCTCCATCCTCTTAAAATAATATTACTTAAATTTCTGGATCACAAAGATGTTTAAATGAACTCTGAAAGCGCTGATATGTACATGGAATAGGAGCAGAAATTAGATCCTGGAAGTTTCACACTTGCATCTGTTTGTGGCTCTCAAATCAAGCTGGATATAATTAGGGTTTTGCTGTGTCACTTACAATCTAATAATTAACTAAGAAAACAGAAAACAAATGATAATACAAATAAGTTCTAGTCTTATTATAATATTAATACTAATTTCCTTACTCTCATGGAAAGTTTCATTATTAGTGTCTGTCTAGAACGATTAATGTACCTATTTAGTCCTTTGAATACGTACATCCTGTCCAGTGACACTGTAGTGTGCTACCTAATCCTACTTCTATGCTGGGTTTCGTATTTGAGTATGCTTAAGTCATTTTTTCCCACTCTTTTGATGTTGGCTTTTTTCCGTTATGAATTTGCCACTCACTGTACAAGTTTTACATGATATTTTTATAGTTTTAACAGTTATCCCTCAGTAGCTTTTTTTTCCTAGACTTGCTTTCAGTGCACCGTAAATGAGTAGACTAATAGTCAGCCTAGAAACTACTGGAAACTGGTAAATTTTTCTGTGTACGTCAGTCTCAAAAGAGACTTGCTAAATTGAGACTCTGAAAATTTAGGAAGAAAGTTTTTCATTTAATTTTTTCTATCAGAAAGTAGTAACAATTCAGGAGCTCTCACGCTTACTCATTATTGTCAAGGTATTTTCTGTAGAATCAGGTTTTCATTTAAAGAAGGCTTTGTGGTAAGACATCTGTTTTGCCTCCTGTTAGAAGTTTTGGTGTTTATAGCAACAAACAATGGAAGCTTTGGTTTTACGTGCTAACTTATTGTTCTAACTCATCTACAAGGCTTAATTCTTATGAGCTTTAAAAAGAAATTGAAGTTGATATCCTGATCTTTTGGGAATGTTCAGGTCGCTCAGTCTTCGGATATGATGAAGCCGGAGATTAAACCAAGGCATTATCACAGTAAAATGAGTTGAAGATTTTCTTCAGTTTTGTATTTTTGTTCATTAGTATCTTAGTCGTTACAGCTTAAAACTTTGCTAAATTTTTATTTTTCATATGAACACATAAAATACTTCTTTGCATAAGTGTAACTTGTTTTGCTCAAATATTTTCTTTTTCAAGCATTATATGTAACGCGTCTGCTTTTTTAATAGCCACTTAATAACAACATCTCTAAAGTGAGAGGCTGGAAGATAATGTTTCAGAAGTTTATGGCAGTTACTTTGTAATGGGGTTTTTGTTCTTTGATAGACCATTTGCCAGTATTAGTTCCCAGGGCAACTGGAGTCACCAAATCTAGTTGTTGCTAAAGTAGATCATGTTTGTTTTGTTTTTCTCTTGACTCCAGCTGTGAATCATTCTCTTGTGCTTGTTTGTGCTTCACTTTTCCCTCTGGGTATGTGTGTGAATGTGGATTTTGTTTTCTGTGCACTGGTGTGTGTGGCTTTGTTTTGGTTTTGCTTTTTGCTTCCATCTCTTCAGCTATCTATTTCATCCTTTCTTTCTGTCTTTCCCTTGTTTTTGTATTGCCTTATTCTTGTATTCCTTTCAGCTGAAAGGCGTATCAGTCGGGTGAAATCTCAAACTAGAACATTTCAGATTGCATCCAGACAAAGTTGGTTTATATGTTAAATATTACCAGTTGCCTTTGTATTGAGCTTCTAATTATATACAGCTGCACATATGTTATTTCCTTCTCTCACGAAGCGTGTGTGTGTGTATATTATATATATATATATATATATATATATAATATGTATGTATATTTTGATATCTTCTTATTTCACAGATAAACCTGAAAACTGGGATGTATGGTATGAAAGCAAATTTGATGACTGTGATAAAGAAGCTTGCCTGTCCTTCTCAAAAGAAATTCTTTGTGCTCGTGTCACTGTGGACCACAATTATTACGCTATTTGTCAGAACCTTTTATCAAGACATGCCACATGGCGTGGAACTTCTGGAGGACTACTTCATGACCCCCCTGCTGAAATTGCCAAAGATGGCCGACTTGAGGCCTTGCTGGATGAGTGTGCCAACCCAAAGAAGCGATATGGTAGATTCCAAGCTGCAAAAGAACTGCGTGAATACCTTGCACAATTGAGTAATAATGTGAGGTAGTCCACAGTGGAAAACTTTTTGTAACACTGGCTAGAACACTATTACAAAGACACATGGAAAATAAAATCCTGAACTTATGTATTCAAAACAGAAAATAAAAAATATGGAACTAGTTTATCAGTTTTATAAATACCATAAAAATATAATTTTATGGTGTTATAATGTTCCTTTGCAAACAGACAAGGTACTTACTGAACTAAAACTTGAGCTACTATTGACTGTTCTCCCTAACTACTTAAAAGGGGATAGGTCAAAAACAGACTGTGATACAAGCTGTCAATTAAGCTGTATCAAAGGGTACTTTACATAAAACTGCATTAGTATCACAGTTTTGTGAAGCTGATGTTCTTACTTGGAAAGTCAAGTTAGACTGGCCTGTTTTAAAGGCCTTTTTCCTGATGCCATTGTCTCATTTTTGTGTTTGTTTAAACACCTTGAAGTGGCATTTACATACAGGTAAACCTAACTGTCTGCATTATTTTGAATTTAACAGGCTTTCATATTAATGCTGTGCAGTATGTTTCTACTGTGAGTGCAAGATTCCCACGTTTACTGTCTAATTTTAGGATTTTTACACTGTTTTACTATGCTTAGACATTGTGTATTTTTTTTAAGATCACCATGAACTCGAATGTCATTTGAACTAATATTTCATTTGATCTCTTTTGTATTCGTGACATTGAAGATATCACTTAATGTAATTATTGTACAAAATTTCTACCCTTCATGCCAGAAGATATACAGGACTGCTTAGCAGGGAACCATGGTTTGAGCAAACTCTAACTTTTAACAAAGGTAATTTGAGGATTGGGGAGAGACTGGGATTAAAAAAAAAATCTTATAAGTTGAAGATAAAAGTTTGACTGAAAACAAAAGTTTGCTAGTCCAGTGTAGCTGAGCATAAACCAAAGAAAATGGTTTTGTTTGTTAGTCCCTAAACTAATCTTGAAGAAAAAATGATATACTGTAGTGATGCTAATTCTCAAAATTCAAATTTCAGTGGTCCTTGATTGCGCTTTGAAAAAAGTTGTAAAACTACTTTCTGATACTAGAAGAAAACCCTAATTTGAATAAAAATGTCTGGCAGGTTAGCAATTTGTTTTACATCTTTCCTTGTTCTGTTGAATTCAAGGGTAGTCAAGTTTACTGAATATTCATCTTTGGTTTAGCAGAATAGATTAAGCTATATTCACTCTAGATACCATTTCTTGAATTAGGTCTGACTATTCCCAGTGCAGGCAAAATTGACTTGTTAAGGTTTTTGTAAATCTGAAGTTGGTCCCCTAAATTCTAATTTCTAAATTCTAAAACCTCACTGCTACAAGAACTGACTTCAGATCTTATTTTTTATTTTTTTATGACTTCTATAATGCTTTGTTTTCCTGAAGTCGTAATCATAAAAAGATATTCTTAGGAAATATATGCATATTTCTTCTTGCGACAGTAATGACGAAAACCTACATTGTTTTATGCTTGTATAAAACAGTACTTTGTGCAAGCTAAAAATTCTGAGCAAAGTGGCATGCCCTGCTTCTGAGGGTGGTGTCAGTATGCCTCTCGGATGCTACATCAGGATAGTAGTAGAAACTGCTGCTGCACCAAATTGCTGTAAGGGCAAGGTGAAGAAAACAGTAAACTCATTGCCCCTTCTTTTTCAAAGCTGAAGAAGTGCAGCTGTATAAAGATGCAAAGTGTTTTTTTTCTTTTTAAATGGTTTAGATAACTGTATTAAGGATATTTTAGAATTCTAAATTCTCACTTTGAAACTTCTTTGCTTATGTAGTCCTAATTTGCTCCCAATCCCTTGCCTTGTGCCTTGCTTGTTTTCAGAAGTTAGAATGACCAATGCAACTTTTAATTTTCATTTCTCCCCTTCCCTCATTGGAAGACTACTTTACATACTTGCTCTGGCATAAGACTTCAGAGAGGGTTCGTGTCACTTTTTTGTCACAAAATCCACTTGTTGAAGAAAATAGAATAACCCTGAGACTAGGTAATATTATCCTACCACAAAAGCCTTGACTTATCACTAAAATTGTGTGTGTTTGTTTGTTTAAAACATCTACTGCATTTCCTAACGAGTGAGTGGAGTATGATTGTTAAAAGGTTTAAACACAGACACTGCCACTTCCGCTTACTACTTGAGGCAGTTCTGGCAGTAACTGCCAGCTTGTCCTATTAGATTTGGTTTGGGGTTTAGTTCCCTCTGGATTAAGTTACTAAAGCTAATTATAAAAGGAATTTGGAAGTAAAAAAGAATACTACAGGGAAAATGTTGTGGAAAGCAATAAATCTTGTTCCGTTTGCACCTATCAGATATGTAGTGTATGATAACAATTTATATTTTTAGTCATGCCCATTATTATTGATGAACACTTGGTGAAATATTTTTGAATGAGATGTTTGGGGTTTGTATGTGCATTAAAAATGTCTTTTTGTACTGTAAGTTACTGTTTGATTGGAATATTTTATCAAAACTGTCTCCCTGTGCCTTTATATTACAAGAAAGTTGTTTCTGCAACTTCTAATGATATTAATAAAGAATACTTTAAGAACCTCATTGAACTGATGCTCCTTTTCAGATCAGTCAGTATTTAAAGTGTTTAACTTTGTCTAGGATCTGTTTAAAATATACATAGAACTAGTTTTTTTTCTGGTATTATAGAATGCACCATAGTCAAAAGTGACAGAGGGGAAACCAGCCCCCCCCCCTTTTTTTTTCCTGTTCCAAAGCAGAAATGATCTGTCCAGGAGTCTCTTTATTTTAGAAATCATAATTAGAAGTAGGACTCTTCCTAAAGACAACTCAATCGAGTCATAGCTTCCTGTTTTATGACCTGAAAGATTGAATAGCTTCAAATTAAACAGGTTGATACCTTCTCCCTTTTTTTCAGGGTCTTATTTTTCCTTGTATTTGAGCCATTTATATTACTTGCAATACTAGCTCTTCAATATAATATTGTAGTAGTTAATATAAAATCATACTAATTTCTGATATTTGTTTTATTCTGGATTTTCAGTGAGTAGTTTTAAATAGATTTAAATCCTGCAGTGACTTCCTTCTGATTTTCTGAGCCTATGTAAATAGTATTAAAAAAAAGTCAAAAACACTTGGCTTTTTCTTCTAGATGCAGTCCTGCTACCACAACTTACAACTTCAGGAATGGTAGACTTGCAAAGTGAAACTTGTAAAATTGTCTGGTTAGCTTCAGAGAGTCAAGATCATTATGGTATTAAGAAGCTAGCGTAAATAACCACTGCATCTTTTCTTTCAGCAGCTGCTAGGGTGTAGCCTGATCCCTGCCACCTTGAACTTCAAGATGTGCCACTTTTTACCAGGTACACCAGTACTTCTTGATCATGTACTCTTTTATGTGCAACTTCAAATATGTTCAACTTTATATGCTACCGTGATTTAACACAAACTCTGACTTAAATGCAACTTTCCTCACACTTAGAGTAGAGACCTTGTCTACCTTTAAGAAGCACTTAAGAAATGGTATACCTACTGTTTTCTGCGTTCACTAGCAATGGTGCTTTCATGGACTCCTGTTCTTTCTCTCTGAAATGATTCATAGCTCTAAGCTCTTATTTCATTAGTGTGTTGCATGGAACCTGCAAAGTGCAAATTAGGATATATTGCATTGTGGGACATGATCTTCAAAGACTATCTCTAAGCATTTTCTGTAAAAGGCACATAAAGTGCCTGGAGAAATCAGAGGAATGCAAGTTAGCGATGTACATTTCTCAGCTGGAAGATTTGGTGTGCAGGCTGTTTAAGTTGCCTTCCAAATTCCTCCTGGTTCTGTTCTGTCCTGTCTCGCAGTGCTCTCAAGCCTTTGGAAATCGGGTCCATCAAATGTAAACATCGTAAGTGTTGATTTCACCTACTCTTGTTTCTTCAGAGTTGAAGATACAGTAGACATAGTTTAATGTTAGACACCATAGACACCACTAACTTGTTTGAGTAGTAGTTCACTCACTCAGTGTTGCGTTTATTTTTACTCTAAGTATCTGCCAGCTTCTTCCAGCCGTTTGTTTATTTCTGCTAAATGAAATGATTCCTTTCTTTGCCCTTTTTCATCCTTCAGAAGATACAGAATGCCATTTGATCAAATAGAAATACAGTACCTCTTGGATACTTGGACAACTTCTATCAGCATTTACATACATAACACAAAACACAGAGTTTGCACATACACATATATTAGAAGCAAAGTTACCTCCTCGTTTCTCCTTCCCCATCTGCCCTTTGTTTCGTACATCCAAACTTGCATTTAAAAAAAAATTCTATAGCATAGTACTGGTTGGTCCTAAGTACTGAATTAATTTGTTGTTAGGGCTACCAAGTCTCTTTAGGGCTGCTTCTCAAGAAACAGTAATTATTCTCTAGGTAAAGGATTTTAACCTTTCAGTTTTCGGTTCTCTAAATTGTCTGTCTAGATGTGCACTACTGAATTGTAAATTCCACTGTAATCTTGTTGTTCATATCTGTTATGGATTTTACATGAATAGTTGTAGGTAGGCTCAGAATATTTGTTTCTGGCAAATGTATTTAGCTGTGTTGAAATGCCGTGGACTTGGTTTTAGCTTAAGTTAGAAAGTGACTGCTTTCTCTTCATCTGAAACTATAAGCAGGTGCTTTGTTTTTGCTTCCAGAAAATTGATTGGAATGCCTTAATAGTGCAGGGTTTGAAATATATCGCTTTTCTGAATTCGGCTTTGTGACAGGTCTGTGATGCAGGCATCTAATCCTTAATCTACTTAACTTGTGTTCTGCACCACACTCAATATCCCAGGTTTCACTTTAATAAGCTTTTAAAATCAATATTTGCCCACTGTCTGACATCTTAGCATCTATGACAGCTGATAATAACTTTATGTGGAGAATTATCACATCGCTTGGATAAAGAAACATGTTATTTGGTGAATGTATAGTGTGTTTGGATTCAGCAGTTCTGAGTGGAAAATAAAAGAATGAAATACTTTCAAGATTTCACTCTATCTTCCTTTCTCATGTTTTATGAGAGTGGTACACATGGACCTGGTGTTGATTCTGTTTTTCTTCATAAATTCGTGTTTTGAAATGTTGATAACATGTTCTTCCCTATATTTCTCCTCAAACAGCTTAGACTGTTTTGCTTCTGATTGCACTGCTGAGAACAATAAGGTGGGGAATGGAGAGTCAAGTCCTTGTTTTTGGCTCATGGTCTTACCATCAAGATACTGAAATATGATCATATGTGGCTTTCAGCCCTTTAAAAAGGCTGATCTCCATCTTATTTGCTATGAGATTTGAATAAGAACAGTTTTTGTTTGCTGTTCCCTTATTTTCAGATTACATTCAAAGATCTACAGCCAGTTTAAATAGACCTTCACCTGCTTTTAGTTTAATTTTAGGGTATTTTAAAATCTGCTTTCCCTGTTGCTGTTGTGCTGACTTCTCACTTTTTGAATGTGACTCTCCAGATATGACAACTTTTAAGTTCGTAGTGAGTTTTATAAATGTTTTTCACTATCCTTGCAGGCAAAAGTCTTTGGAAATTCGACTTACACTGTTTACTGCACTCGTGAGCCTTTGCCAGACATAGAAGGCCTTGTAACTGCTATGTGTAGAGTTTGCACATGTGTTAGGACAGTGAAGAATCTGTTGTTTTGGCAGCAGATTTAACTGTTGTTGCCACACTTGAGGTATGAGAATATACCTCTTTTACATGGTTCAAAAGCTACACAAACTTAATAAGCATTAGTAATAACCTTTTCCCACAAATACTGATTTGCATGTTGGTTCAGGTCAGAAAAAGTCAAGAAAGTTATGACTTTTAAAAGAAAAAATATTTAAAGTTATTTTTCTGTATTTGGTGGGTTAGCTCCAGTCTTCTGAGAACAGAGAGGGGTGAAAGCAGAATATACTTCAAAGCAAAATACACTGTTTAATATACAGCTCATGTTCAAATAGAAAGAAAGAGCATTTTTGTAGGTCAGAATTCCAAGTAGCTAGTCTGTTAGTCAAAGAATTGTAGTGAATGTCTTTGTCCTGCACAGGATGGCTCTGTGTATATTTAACTTGCTAGTTCTTGGTATTCTCAATGGAAACTTAATGTATCCATTCAATCTGTCCTTGGTGTAATCCCAAATTACCCAACTTGAAGGCCTATTTCTTCTTAAAGGAATTCAAATTTCAAAGTTTATTGCATGTTTTTCTTTTGTGTTTTTTTTCTCTAAAAATAATTATGAAACCCAAAATAGTGGAGCAGTGCATTCCATTGCCGTCAGCTATTAATGCAGCTTAGTTTTGGACTGACAGTTCTCATCTTTTTTGGTTATTCAGGCTGGGATGGGTCTGTCTGGTTTCCTGTAAATCTGACAGTTCTCAGTGAGTAAGTGTATCACTTGTACCTTAGCAGATATTTTCTTTTCATCTCTTGGGCAATTGATTACTTAGCTTTCTGATTTTTGTGGGCTCTTTGGAAGTATATAAAGATTATATAAAAGCTATTTCTATTGTGGCAAAGTAACCTGCAATTCCAATATGGGAAGAGGCACCTACCTCCATCTGGATAGCACATGAATAAGTCCTTGTGTTGGTGCAATTAGTTTTCTTTTTTTTTTTTTTTTTACTGGTTCTTTTTTTAGTATTTAGCTGGCAGCTGTCCCTTCATTTGTTCTAAAGGAAGCTTAGACTTGACCAAAGAAGGATTTCTGCCGCCAAGACTACAGCTTTAAGTCCTTTGATTTACATGCCGGTGGTTGTGTTTGTTTTTGTTGTTGTTTTGTTTAAAAACTTCCTGGTTACAAAGTGTACTTTGAGGGGAACTTAACTGGGAAGATAAACAATTTAAAAAGCCAAAGGGCAAATATCTGTTACCTTGCAGTCCTTCTCAGCTGTGTATATTGTTACGGTTCTACCCAGTCTCTTCTGCAGGTGTTGTCAGCTATGCCATCACAGGTTTTTTCTAATTACTTTTCTAATAGCTTGAAATGTTCTGCTTTTTTCCCAAAGGCATCATTTGAAGCTTTATTAGAATTTTTGTTAAAACCTTTGTTAGAAGAGATGGTATTTTGTTGTTTCCTAATAGTGAAATTATTTATATGTATTATATTAAATTATATTTCTCTTTCTCCTTTTTTATATCCTAATTTTATTTTCAGGATAATCATTAAGCACAATCATATTCATTCACTAAGTATAAATAGACTTTGTACTAACATCCTATTTTTTTTTCCTGAATAATTGGCAATGGAAAACAAAGGATTGGGATCTTCTCATTTCCTGCTGCTTTCAGGAAGGTGGTAATTAGGTAAAAAGAACCTGGTGAATGGACGCATGGTATTGTGCACTGTCTAAAATGTCACCAAATTTTGTGTTATGCTACAAACTATGGATCAATATCCAGTTTTTATAGGGCATTTACTTGCTAAGATATACAGTTGCATCATCACCAAATAAATACATTGTTAGAAGACTTTTGCATGTGTTTTATAAAAATTCTTTGCTTGTGGACACAGCTGTACTTTATAAACGTTTACAGTTTGTATAACTCTGTTATCCTAACAGTA